CAGAGACGCAAAACAGTGCTGTGGCTGTGTTTGGAGGTATTTTTATTGGTAAAATAGAGCACTACAGGCAATATGGCGTCTAAAACGTAAGTCTCTTAATTAACTTCTTGTTTATTGAACTGTTGCATAAAATCAGTATCACATTTGTAATCATGTTGATTTTTAGAGGTGAAAACTGGCACTCTTCGTGTGATATTGACTAACTTCCTTTCTGTGGTATTTTTATGCATAACTATGTCTGTGTGCGTGTGTGTATGTGACAGACTGTGCTCGCTGAGTGTGTGTGTGTCTGTGTGTGACAGACTGTGCTTGCTGAGTGTGTGTGTGTGTGACAGACTGCTCGCTGAGTGTGTGTGTGTGTGTGTGTGTGTGTGTCAGACTGTGCTGTGTGAGTGTCTGTGTGTGTGACAGACTGTGCTTGCTGAGTGTGTGTCTATGTGTGTGTGTGTGTGTGTGTGTGTGACAGACTGTGCTCTCTGTGTGTGTGTGTGTGTGTGTGTGACAGACTGTGCTCGCTGAGTGTGTGTGTATATGTGTGTGTGAGTGCGTGTGTGTGACAGACTGTGCTCGCCGAGTGTGTGTCTGTGTGTGTGAGACAGACTGTGCTCGCTGAGTGAGTGTGTGTGTGTGTGTGTGTGTGTGAGTCACAGAGAGAGAATTGAGACAATCAACATGAATGGCGCCAAGTCTTTCACAAAACATAGCTAACTTAGGGACATCATAACTAGCCACCATATATTGATTTACAGTCTTAAATATCCCTGCGTCCCAATGTGCATACTATCCACCCTATCTGCCCTAAATAGTATTGAAAATGACTATCATCACAGAATTTAGCATGGATAGCGTTTATCGGGTTGTGCGTCAGTAATGATGGTCTGTGGGGAAACACAGTGTTCTGTATGTAGTTACAGTAAATGGACTAAACGAAGAAATCGATGATTTTTTGTATTCGAGTTACTCAAGGAATCGTTTCAGCCCTAGAATCGTGCAGTGAAAGAACGCACTGTAAATGCATGCACTCTGTAAGAGTGTTTTGTTTGGTTTTTGTGATATAACAACAAATAAACAACAATTCTGATATTATTCGCAGATGATATATATCGCACAGCCCTACTCACATCACGTGTAAATCACTCTGAACACCAGTGTGAGCCGTACCTGAGCGACGCCTCCGTCAGGTGTTTGACCACCATCTTCCCTTCAGAGACACTCATCCGGAGCCGCCGCAGCGCGTGTTCACGTCTGCTCTGCAGGACACACAGCTGAAGCACACACACACACACACACACCGGCGTCACTGCGGTGTCCAGGAATGAACACACCCTCAACACACGGCTGAAAGACTCACCTGAGCCATCATGGATCTCCTCTGGGCCTTCACACACGCGTCTCTGAAGCGCTTGATCTCCTCCTCCAGATGCAGACGCTCAGACGCACACTGGTTACTGCGGGACACAGTTAATGCATCAGTATGACACACACACACGTCAGTTTTATTGATAGAGCACTTTTTATAGTACACATTGTTTCAGAGCAGCTTCAGTTTTTCATGATGTAAACATCCAATTATTCACAACAATCCATTTAGAGCTGTGCGATAATATGGTTTACATTTGACAACAATATTCAAGCAGTTGAGATCTGCATTATGATATATATATCATGCGAATGTACTGTATGCATGTGGACAAAAGTGGATTTACCTACAGTAGCTGTGAGTTGGGGTTAGTAATGTGTTGCGTGTTTATATGGAAAGTTTTGATTCTGTAAGGTTTTATTCAGTTTATATTAATTTGTTGTAGTGACGAGCCTAATTACTATTTAGTGATGTGCATCACAGATAAATGATTTCGGTTAGATCACCCACATAAACAATACAAGAGACATTCTCAAATACATACACACTGGAAACTAAAAGTTTAGAATAATTAAGTTTTTCAAAATCACTTCTAATCACCAAAGCTGCAATTATTTGATCAAAATACAGTAAAAACAGTAATATTCTGAAATACTATCTATAAAGATAAAATTTAAAACAACCATTAAAAAATAAAACATTCACCATTACTTTTTCAAAGGTTGTTTAATTTGAACTGGTATTGATGCAAAGGTTTATACTGTATAAGATGATAACATAAATTTATATTGTAATGTACTCATTCTAATATATTTTAAAAATAATTTACATTGCTGGTAGGTTATCACTGCACAAATTAACACACTCTCTATGATAAAAAAATAAATAAATTAGAAGAGTTCTAAACGCGCTGTCTTCACTGTATCTAACGCACACACGCTCAAGGCTGATTTATACTCGATGCGTCCGCAAGTTCGCTTAGGTGCGCGAGGCAAATATGACATCATTGCGGTGTTGGCGGAAGTTCGCTTTGAGTGCGCGCGACTTTCGTGTGGCGGTGTGCACAACATTTTTTTGTAACTTTCCGCGCAGCTCCGCTTTCGAAGATGCACGAGTTCAAAACGACTCTAGCTTAATCGCTCAAGAGCTACATTATCTTTCTCAACAAGGAGCTGGTAGCATCATTGTTTCTAAAGGAATTAAAGCCACAGCTTCACTGTTAATAGAGAAACGCGGCAAAACGGTGGTAATTCATACATGCACAGCCTCCCTCTCTCTCTCTCTGTGTGTGTCGTAAATGAACAGTTGATGAATTACACTTTTCTGAGAATAGAATATTGAAGCGGAGATCGCTAAACTGCAAGCTAAAACTGTTTCGGGGATGACGTCTCTTTATATCAGGCAACCCAGTTGTGTTCCTCTGCGGCCAGATTAAACCTTGTTTTAGCCTATATGGCTCTATTAATTCTTTTTTAGAAACCTCGCACTTTTCTACTC